TATATCTAGAGTTCCTGTGCTCCAAAAATTATGAAATTTTTGTGATAAGATTTTCTTGATTAGTATAAGATCTGGTAAAAATTTCGTGGTCATTGCATGAGTAAAGTTTTAGTTATAGATTTTCCTTTTATAATTAGGAGATCCTTGTATGAATTTTTATAAATTATTTATGAATCCAATATTCATGAAATTTGTTAGAGTATATACTAGTACCATATGTATGCTAAGAAAAATAGGAAATCTATTGCTTGACACTTTTCAATAGGGTTTTCTATTTATGCTATTTTAAGCCTTTATGTCTTGTCATTTTTACATAGGATGTTTTACTGGGTAAAATGGCATGAAACTTTTACCGTAGTCTATTAGTAGCACTAGTAAGCCACTGTAAATTTCTGAGAATTTATGATATACATTTAGTATATGTTTATTATTTAACCTAAGTATCTAAATAAAATAATAAAGGAATTTAAATAAATAGTTTGGACTTCACCATTATGTTTTCTTGAGTGTATTTGGTATGCTTAAACTATTGGTAGACTTTGTGTTGTCAAACTTTGAGTGATTACATGAAGTAAAAGTATTGTTGCTTCATAATGCGAATTGGAATAGTTTTCGGACAGATTCTGTAGTTTGATAAGTTGCATGATAAAAATGATGTTTGTTGTAAAAATGGTTAATAACAAAGTTATAGATAACTTCATCATATGTCTTGTGTTAAAATTTTAGGACCATAGGTCAAACGGTTTAGGAGTTATAGCTGTTCAAAGTTAGCATTTCTGAAATTGTTTGCTCTTTGGGATTTCTAGACAGCACTGATATGATTGTTTGTTTTGGCTAAGATAAGTTGTGAATTAGCTTTTGTGAATTAAATAAGAGTTGTAGATAAATTTATAATCTTTCTATAAAGTCTAGGATCACTGCATTTGGATAATTAGAACTCTAGTTATGAGTAAAACAAGTAGCTGATGTTTTGTGGTATAGTAGATACATTGTTGAAGTAGTTAATTAAATAATCAAGAAGAGATATGCACCTACTCAGTAAACGTAATGCACTTGTTACTTAAACCACATGATGTGAAGAATACCTACAAGAATGCATTCATCATGGGTCATCATACTATAATTGTCAGCATGTATGCATTCGCAACATCTTATGCCATATTCATGCATCTAGGATCGACGGAGGAGATCACGTTGCTGGAAATCAACGAAGGAGAGGAAGGAGACCAGCAGGAGATTCCTCAAGCCGCAGCTCCTGAAGAAGAGGAGCAGATCCCTGAAGAGCTTCCGGAGTGCCCTGACCACTGCTCCACTTCCTTTCTAAAAGACAAGCCCCGAAACATTCTAAGTCTCCCAATGTTTTACAAAATAATACTTGAATCCTTTATGATTGATGCATTAGGTTATATGAGTTGTCTGGAAACACTTGATGCATGGAACTACCTTGTCCAGATATATACACCTTTAACCCTGTGTAGGTCCAGAATCGAATATATGCTTAGCCCTGCTTAGACCGGTAGAAGTCGGGTGATTTCCTGTCACCTGCGAGATATAGGTGGATACCGAAGCACAGTTGGCTATATTTGCTATCGTGGGAAGAGAACCATGGGGTAATGTAAATGGAGACCGGGCGGGATGTCGATAGAGAAGCAACAAGGCATGAAGGTCTTGGGTGTGGATATATCCCCGTCTGTGTCGATTAAGGACCGTACCGTTTGTTGGCACTTCTGACAAGATTGAACGCATGCCTCTCACTTAGCTGGCCGGATAACTCGTTCCGACAGTGAAGCCGAGTAGCTCAACTCAGGCCGGGCCTCGTTCTGTTATGTGCCCTCTGCGGGGAGCGGATCAATAGACCGCGGGCAAGCATGACCTGAGCGACCTGGTCCGGGACCGTGGGCAGGCATGGCTTGAGAGACCTGGCTACCGTCAGTCCCTGATTGCGCAGCGCTGTACGAACTCGTGAAATGTGTACCTGAGTTGTACCAAATGTGACCTAAGGCTGCCTTCGCGCGGTATGCCTGGGTTTGTGTTAGGAATAAATTCCCAGCTGGTTGAAATCGATTCGAATCGCCGTCTCTCCTGGATAGCGAGAAACTTGGCTAGCCCCAACATCGTAGTAATTGTACTATAAAATATGATGGTTCGGATAAACATGAAATTACAATACCTGTTATGGTTACTATTGTATGCTTTTAAAATGATATACCACATGTTTGGCACAAGTTAGTTGCTAATTTAGAGATGGATAGTTATAATTAACTTGATAACGGAATCATAATGATATAACTAAGTTAATCGCTTTTATGCAAAATGTTGTCAATCTATCTCCACTTATACAGCCTTGCATGATCCTTGGAGTCATTTTATTTCTGGTTTATGACGGGTAAGTCTAGCTGAGTACCTTCTTATACTTAGGGTTTTATTTCCCATTGTTGCAGATGAAACTGTGTATCTTGGTTATTGCAAGAGTTGCTTCTATCCCGCTGTGGATGAGTAAGCCTTGGGTAGGCTTCTTATTAATCTTTCTACAAGCTTTTGTGGACCGTGATCGTATTTTGGCACTGTATTAAACTATGTTGGAAACTTTACTTTTAAACTTAATTTGCTTTCGCTTTTATCTATCAACTCGGTTTGTAATAACTGTGTTTTCATACTCTGATGATGAAAATGTATCTGTGAACTTTATGTAATATATGACATGTATGTTGAATCATGTACGATCTTGGTTGTTGTAAATCGTTTATCGAGACCCGTTGTGGTACTCGACGGACTATCGGGTTTATATGGGTTCAAGTATGACAGTGCGTTCGTTTGCGGACTGCCATTGTACTTGTACTCTTATAAATTGGTCGGTTCTACGACATCCACGTCGTGGCTCTGTCCGTCACTGGCGCCAAACGGATGTGTCGTCTCCCGGTCGTGGCGCTCCACTCCGTCCTGGCGGACGTCGCGGTGAACTGACGCACATGTCAGTGCTTGTACGAGGGTTAGGCAGAACAACACCGGTACGCCCGACGTTGTTCCCGATGTGAATCCCCAGGTATGGCCCGTCACGCCTATGGATTATATCGGGGCGTGCCGGTCACCTCCCTGGTGTCAGAGCTTTGACCCAGGCCCATTCGCTTGGACCTGGAGTGGTTGACGGCGGTATGGGTCTCCGTCGACGGTACAGATCCCCTAACCTCGAGGTCGGTTGAGGTGGAGTCTCCCCTGGAGGTCGGACGAGGCGGAGTGCAAACCCAAAGGTCGGGCGAGGCGGAGCTCGTTTTCAGAGGCCGGACGAGGCGGAGCCAGCCCTCAGAGGTTGGGCGAGGCGGAGCCCGCCCTCAGAGACCAGGCGAGGTGGAGCCAGCCCTCAGAGGTCGGGCGAGGTGGAGCCCGTAGCCTTGGCGTCGGGCGAGATGGAGCCCACCCCCAGAGACCGGGCGAGGCGGAGCTTGCGCACCTGGGGGTTGGTTGGAACTGCATTCGCGCTCTTGACTGCTCGGATAAATCAATGTTGATGGTTATTAACTCCTTCTCTTCGGATACCCTAATATTGGTCCCCGACAGAACTAAACGAGGCCCTAAATCAAAAGCCAGTTTTTAGAGCAAGCATCTATCTTTGCAAGTTCTGTTACGAGCCAGATCAGCCAGAGTATCTATTCGGCTACCATTATAAACTAGCTTATCAATTATAATATAATAATTTTCTCTCACCAAATTATTTATATAAATCAATACAAACGGCTTATGATTAGCCGACCGTAGCCCTGTGTCAGAGCTGATTTGGACGTTCGTCCCAAACGTGGAGCGGGACTACTAGCAGTCTAGTCTAGCTAGCAGGCTAGCAGCTTCGAGTGTACTGTACTTGAGAAAGCCCTTCCCGCCTTTCCCGTCTGAAACCCACCTGTCAGACAAGCAGCCCAGTCCTGTGCGGCTAAAACACCCGACTCACTGTCATTCACCTTCTGTATGATGTACTTTCCATTATTCATCAAGAAGATAGAAGCAAGAGATGGATCACGGTAAGAGCATGGTTAATAACCAGCCAGCAGCGGGATGTATGCTACTGCCATGTCAACTATAGCCATTCTAAGAAACACTCGTATGATAGGCTGATTGATAAGCTGGTGTTTAGCATCTTTTTTTAAAGAATTAACTATTTGATATTTTATAGGTGCACATCATCTGCTGTGGCTATATCTTTTTGGCCATTTCATCAAACATGTGAACAGCATACATATACCACATGCGCGCGGTCGAGCGAGACTAGGCGGTTCGCATGGGATCGTTCGGTGGGGAACGAAGCGCCTTCTTTTCGCCCGCAGCTAGCTGGATGCCGGCTGTGTCGTCAGATTCAGCCCGGCGAAGAGTAGAGCGCCGGCCCGTTTTCTCTCTCTTTTTCTCTCTCCGCCAGATCATGCCTTTTTTTTCTAGGTGGCCTCAATTCAGCCGGCTGACTGAGCCTTATAATACTTGCTCTAAGAACATCCATGATCCATGCGATGTGCTGTGTGCACAGCAAGGGATGATGTGGGGCAGTCAGGGTCAACAGCCACAGGCGCACCTCCATTAGCACCAAAGTCACCTTCCATCACCTCTTCCAATGTCTGCCGCGACCCGGCCTTTGCCTTTCGCATCCCCCGAGGCCACGCTGTTTTTCACCATCAGCGTCAGCAGGGCCCCCGTGCATCTGACCGTCCGTGACCGGCCCATCCAACGCCCGCCGCAAGTTACGCCGCGCACCCGGCACTGCTACTCGAGCGCTGCCCGTGCCTGACCAGTGACCAGTGACCAGTGACCAGTGACCACTGACTAGACGCCACCGCGTTCCCGAGCGAGAAGTCCTCCCCCTCGCCTCGTCTCGCCTTGCCTCGCCTCCTCCCCTCCCCTCACAAGTCACAACCACCACCAGAAGCCGCGTGGAGCCCTCATCCAGATCGGAGCCAGCGCGCCGGGTGATGCCGTTCCGGCCGCGGGAGTAGCCGCCTTGTTGCCCCCCCGACCCAGGAGCCATGGCGGAGGATGGCGAGGAGAAGCTGCTCGCGACGGTGCAGCACATCGTGCAGACGCTGGGGAGCAGCGACACCATGACGGAGGACATCCTCAAGGTCTTCTCCAACTACGACGGCCGCCTCTCGCTCGACAAGCTCTACGCCGCGCGCGCCGCGGCGGCGGCGGCCGCTGCGTCCGGTGGTGGCGGAGGAGGCGGAGGGGGAGGAGTCGTAGGGGAGCGCTCGATGGCGACGTCGCCGCCGCTGCCCCCGCCGCCAGCGGCTGCGGCGGCCGTGTCGGCCGCGAGGCCGAGGCCGCCGATCACGTCGATGGAGCGGACCGTGCGCGCGCTGGACCGCCAGATCTCGCAGTTCGTGGCCATGGATCGTCTGATTTGGGCGGACTCCGCCGACGCGGACGCGTTCCTGGAGGCGGTCGACGATCTCATCGTCACCGTGCAGGAGCTGGACGCCGCGGGGACCAACCGCGCCCTGCTCGACCGCGCCGACGAGTTGCTCAGCCGGTGCATGGCGCGGCTGGAGGACGAGTTCAGGGCGCTCATAGAGCGCCCCGACGACGCCGCCCCCGTGGTGCCGGGCGGGTTCGGGTCGGACGGGAGCGACGACGACGACGACTTCGGAGGCGGGGACGGCTACGGCGACGAGCCGATCCCGATCGCCAAGCCGGTGACGGACTATGACGTCGTGATCGATGCTCTCTCGCCGGGGTCCATCGCCAACGTGCACCAGATCGCCAGGAGGATGGTGGACGCTGGCTTTGGCCGCGAGTGCGCTGAGGCCTACGCCGCGGCGCGCCGCAGCTTCGTCGACGAGAGCGTTGCGCGCCTCGGCGTCCGTTCCCGCACCGCTGAGGAGGTTCACGCCTCACCCTGGGAGGAGCTTGAGTTTGACATCGCCCGCTGGATCCCGGCCTTCAACATGGTGTTTCGCATCCTGATTCCCAGCGAGCGCCGCCTATGTGACCGCGTTTTCGACGGCCTCGCCCCCTTCGGCGATCTTGCCTTCATCGCCGCCGTGCGTACCCAGGCTCTGCAGCTCATATCATTCGGTGACGCTATCTCTTCCTCAAGCCGCGCGCCGGAGCGCCTCTTCCGCGTCGTTGACATGTACGAGGCTGTGCGTGACATTCTCCCTGACCTTGATCCTGTGTTCTCTGACCCATACTCTGCTGCACTCCGTGCGGAGGTCTCCGTGATGTGCAACACACTGGGGTCCTCTATCAAAGGTATTTTTATGGAGTTGGAAAATCTCATCCGCCGTGACCCTGCCCGAGTTGCTGCCCAAGGTGGCGTCATACATCCTATCACTCGGTATGTTATGAACTATCTCCGTGCTGCGTGTGGATCGCGGCAGACATTGGAAGAGGTGATGGAAGGTGACTTTGGTGCTAATGGAGGTGTGCCTGTGGCTGTTGACCCTGACCGCCCCACATCATCCCTTGCTGTGCACATCGCATGGATCATGGATGTTCTTCAAAAGAATTTGGATACAAAGTCTAAGATATACCGTGATCCATCTCTTGCTTCTATCTTCTCGATGAATAATGGCAAGTACATCATACAGAAGGTGAATGACAGTGAGTTGGGTGTTTTACTCGGTGATGAGTGGATCAAGCAGATGACAACTAGAGTTCGCCGCTGGAGCATGGATTATCAGCGGACAACATGGGGCAAGGTTACATCTGTGCTGCAGACTGGTAGTCCAGGCATGGGTGGACTCCCAGCCAAGGCAATGCTGCAGAAACTGCGTATGTTTAATACATACTTCGAGGAGATCTACGCGTCACAGTCAGAATGGGTGATAGCAGATGACCAGCTAAGGGTGGACATTAGGGCAGCGGTGGAGGAGACAGTGATGCCAGTTTACGCCTCGTTAATTGCCAAGTTGAAGTCTTCTCCTGAAACTGGGCGTGATTTATTCATCAAGTACACTCCAGAGAATGTTGTAGCCCATATCCAGCACTTGTTTGAAGGAGCAGCAAAGTGATAAATGATATGCAGCTTTGTAGCCTGTTATACTGCAGGTTCTGCCCTTCTGAACTTGTGAAATGCTATCCTGGATTCTCCTTTCGTGGTTAATGTCTTGTACTCACATATGGTGATGCTGTTGTCTCAAATTACAACTGTGCATCGCTGTTTTTGTCCTCCATGAGGAAGTTATGCAGTTTGGCAAATGTTGTATATGTGTGTAGGTGTGTCTGTATCAATGAGTAGCATGATTATTTTGTAACAATGTTAGGATTCCATTTCTGTTTCAAGCACTACTTTAATTTAACCCCATTAAGTGTTATGTGTGGATTTCAATATTTAATTCAATAAGTTTGTGCTCAAGTTTTTGAATAAGTTTTTCCTGTGATTAACTTTTGTGGATGATCCAACTCTATGATGGCTAGAGTATCTGCAGCTCAAAATGGACATCATACCATGAAAGATGAAACCACGTCGCAGGCCACACCATTTCCTTCTGTTAGATATATGGAAGAAGTGATGAATTGCTGTTTCACCAGGTGAGGCTGAAGAAAGGTTGTTACCCGTTATACCTTTTGAAAATTCATCATGCTAGCTTATATGAATTATGAAATAAAAATTAAAGCTTCACTGTGAATAGATTTTGCATAAATGTCCAGTCATGTTAACACAATAGGTTGATTTTTAGGCAAGTATCTGGTGCTGTTTCAAATCACGAATATCCTGCACAACTGACTGCTATTTGACATTGCTCTTTCCTTTCTTGCTGAATCAGCAGGAGAAAACATGTCATTTCAGTTTCTATGTTCAATAATCTGTAACTTTTACCACCCTACTGAAGTTATGAGTAACTAACCAATTAATGAATGAATATGTCAGTAGTTCAGTTATGACATTTCAGTGTTTATGTCCCAGGCCATGATACTTTCTTGTTGAGATATGCAATGCAATGATATATATAATGGTTAGGGATGAAATGTTTAGAAGCATTACATGGTTTTTGTTTGCTTTAGAAGATCAAACATGCCTCCACCAGAAACAGGGAGCTTTTAAGGCGAATTTTATCTACTTTCTTATCAGACATGGTTCCACCATTCTCATTAGTCCCTCATACTAAAAAGCTCATGCATGAATATGATATGCAAATTATTTTACCATGAAATAGATAAGGAAATGCAGAACTTAAAAACTAAAAAGTGTGTAGTTCTGCTCTCAACAGAGTGCTGTAGAAGGCTGTGTGCAGCCATCAGAATCCAATTGTCTGATGAGTGATGTGGTTCTCTGTCAGGTTGCTTTGCTATTTATGCTGATTGCTCCTGCAAATCAGTGGTGGATTTACTATAGCATGCGTAATTTGGATCATGCCACTGCTTCAATGAAGCCCGATGATTCACTGCATGCAGGTTCTGGTTATCATTCATATTCCATTGTACAGTATTTTGATGATAAGCAACGTAAGATACATCGTCAAGAAAAATGATGAATGTTGACATGAGGTCTTTGTCGTGCTACTTGGTGAGAATATACGGCAAAAGAAGCATTGACAAAGGTTGTACTGGTTAGTATTACTCGCTTTCTACTGTTTGGGGTCCAGATAATTAAGCAAAAATCTCCCAAGGAGTTTCTGTTGTAATAGGGATGATGGTTTTGCTGCAGCAGAGGTTATTGGACACTGGCATTTCAAACATTTTGGCAATAAGTTATGCCATCCGAAAGAGGCTCTGGGTCTGCTTGGTTCGCTTCCAAAATATGCAAGCCAAAGATTTGGTAAGCCATGATTTTAGCTGTTATTTAGTTTGCTACCAAAGCCTGCCAACCTTTCACATTTGGCTTGTCAAATGTATGGCAATTTTTTTTGTCCAACTTTTACTTGACAAATCTTTGGCATGACATTTTTTTGTCACAAACCAAGCAAGCCCTCTGTCTGGTTTTACTTGAGGTACATTCAACTGATGAACTGTAGATAAAACGAAATTTCAAAATGTCACTTGTTTAACATATTCGGGGTCATTTTGTCATTTGGGTTAATCTTTTTTTTTTATTTTTATGTATGTAGTATTATATTGCTGCATTGCATAACTAGGCGCAGGACAAAAATTCTGCTTATGATTAGTTGATAAAGTAGCATACTAGCATACCTTGATTCTAAACTACAACGATCTCGACTGTCAAACTTCTATTGGGATGCATTTGGACTCTCCATGTCTACATCACCATGAATTGGGTTCTATGAATAGGTGCTGATGCAAGGTTTCCTCTAGGGAATGCTTTTCATGATTTGTGCAGTGCAGCTCATGCTACTATACTTAACAGAACAGTAAAAATCTTCACTGGAATGATAACTATCTTGCTAATCCTGAACTGTACACAGCATCTCCAAAGAACAATCTGAAAATCTATTTGAACCAGGTCCTAGAAACTAAAGGGGTCAATCCGTGAATGTATCAATTCTATGACGCAAAGGTAAGATGACATACAGGGTTGTTTACCGCGGTCCTATCGCTTGGACATGCTAGATTACGCCGTCGACATGGTTTTCTGCCGCGGCGGCAGCAGTGCACCGTGCCACTGGTCCTGGGCTCCCGGCACAGCGGCGTTCAGGCCAGCCTGGTCCTGCTGCTTCATGATGAGCACCGAGTAGGGCGTGTCGAAGTCGGAGGACGCCAGGAGGTCGCCAATGACACCGAGCTCGGGGCACTCGCTCCAGTCCGACAGCCCGTTCGCCGGCATCACCGGGTACCACCTGTGCCTCATGCCAACGATGACTAGGTCGTAGCCGGCCTTGTCGAGACCCCTCAGCACCTCGACGATCTTCTCCATGTCGCCGACGAGCTCCTCCCGGACTTGCATGTTCCTGCTCCTCGCCGCGAGCGCCTTCACCTCCTCGATGGCGCGGTTGTCCACCCGCCTATCCGCCGGGTCGTCCTTGATGCCTCGGGCTGGCAGGAACCGTACGATCGCAACTGTCACGCCCGGGTGGCGCGCCATGCGCGCCACGTAGGACATGGCCTCGCGGTCGTCGCCGCCGCCGAAGAAGAGCGCCGCCACGGCGGCATGGAACTGGGGCCCGCTCATCGACAGGGCACTGCTGCCCGTGGAAGAGCCTGAGTAGTCTTGTAGCGGCCCGGGAATGAAATTGGACAGCCCCACGTTCCCGGCGTTGCGGTCGACGAACACCGCGACCGAGCACGGCGCCACCTCCAGCACCTTGCGGTTGACGACGCGGAGCCCAACTGAGGCGTGCACGCCGCCGGCGAGCAAGTGGTGCTTATGGTAGTGGAGGAGGATCAGCGACGTGCGCTTCTCGACGGCGAGGCGGCACACCTCGTCGTGCATGGAGGAATACGGGGAGATGGTGGTGAACGGGTGCACCGAGACTGCGCCCTCCGTGTGCCGGAGCTCGTGCCGGAAGAAGGCGTTGATGATGCGGTCGAAGTCGGTGGACGGCGCGTTGGGTGCGCCGATCCGAGACGCATTGCGGCGGGGGTTGTGCGGGATGAACACCGGCGCGGAGCGGCCGGCGATCTCGACGAGCTGCAGGAGATAGAGGCCGATGGGCGTCTGGGGTGTGGCGTGCGACGCTTCGAGCAACGCGAGCGTCCCCGAGACGTGGGACTCGTCGTGCAGGCACGCCAGGATGCGCAGGTCGGCGTCCGGCTTGAGGTGTTGCAAGGTGCGCCGCTTGTAGACGGCGTAGCGCCGCGCCGGGTCGTACAGCAATCCCGCCACCGGCACCGACACCGCCGTGATCGCCACCGACGAGCATATCAGGACGCTGAAGGAGTTCTTGCCGATCAACTGCGAACCGAACCGATCAAATGTTTCAAGGTCCACGCAAAGAATGTAAATAGAAAATGCAGAACTGACTAGTGTCTGCATTTGATGCTTCCATTTGCAGAGCTGTTGTATTGTATCAGCGATCACCTTGTTGGTGAGGAAGAAGGTGAAGGTGATGACCTCAACGATGCCCTTGGAGCTCATGAACAAGCTGAGGGACACGGCGTCCCGGAGGGGGATCTCAAGGAACAGCGACGGCACCATGACGCCGACCAGCTTGCCAAACCATCCGAGGAGCACGACTAGCTGCAGCCTGCCCCAATGCAGGGACCACACATCGGTGCTGAGCCCGGTCATGGCGTAGTACAGAGGCAGGATCAGGCCGGACACCATGGCGTCAATCTTCTCCCCCAGCGCGGTGCCGAGCGGCGGTCCATCGGGGATTGCCAGCCCCAGCATCAGCGCGCCGTGGAACGAGTTGGTCCCGATGACGTCGCTGTAGAATCCGACGAGGAGCACGATGAGGAGGAAAAAGAAGACGTAGTTCTCGTCCACGGGTTTGCCCGGCGGCGTGCGCTCGATCACCTTGAGCGCGACCGGGCGCACCGCGAACAGTATGACCGCGCCGAGCGCGGCCACCGAGAGGAACGCCCAGAGCGATGTCACCGCCGACACGAGGAACGCCTCGGCGAGGATGTATCCCACCATGATGAGCCACGCGATGCCGTCGGTGGTCATCGAGGCCGACATGGCGGTGCGGCCCAGGTCGGAGTTGAGGAGGCTGAGCTCCGACAGGATCGGCGACAGCACCGCGAAGGACGTGACCGAGAGCGACGTGGCCAGCGCGAACAGGAACGTAGAACGCCTCGTTACGTCGGGCTCCGAGACCATGGCGGCGCCGGATAAGCCCGCGGTGGTCATGGCCAGCGGGAGGATGAAGCCGGAAAGGCCGATGATCACGCCCTTCTTGCCGGAGCGGACGACGAGCATCGGGTCCATCCGCACGCCGATGAGGAAGATGACGTACATGAGCCCGAACGTCGCGACGGTGTGCAGCACCGGGTCGCCCCTCGCCGGGAACACCATCTCCTTGAACGCCGGACTGCGTGACAGCATGGACGGGCCGAGTATGATGCCGCCCTGAAACACATCAGATGGAGCAGCACATACGTTTCAGTTGATCTGCGCCAAAAGCTTTCAATCAAGCTGACGAAAAACGTTCATGGCATCGCTGCAAGCAAAGTGCAAACTAGGATGGACGTGCCATGATCTCGGACACGACGCGGGGCTGCTTGAACGGCTTGAGAAGGAAGTAGAGTACGCGGGTGATGGCGACGATGAGGACGAGCTGCACGCCGAGCAGCGGCAGCGACTCCTGCAATGGGCTGCCTCCCTGGAAGATGTTCCGCCCGGTGCCCGTGGTCTGCGGGACCACGTAGCAGTTGATGCCGTCGTCCATCGCCCCTGCGTCTCCGCCGGCGCCGATGATTGCCCTGCGCCCCTCTCGTCAGGCTGTGTCTTCCATGGTGGTTTGCACGGTGGAGTGGAGATGGAGAGAGAGACAGAGAAGGGGAGAGGAATGAAGGACATGTCAAAAAGTTTTAAAACTTCATAGCCTCGAGATTTTATCGAGCTTTGGTTGTTCGGTAGAATTTCTGTGGCTGGAAAGCAGTAACCTTATAAATTTTGCGATAAAGATGGCTTTTGCGATAAAGATGGGTGCGTCGTGAGTTCAGGAATAGTAAATCTAAAATTGGATTGGGGAACCCATAACCATAACCCATTGAGGTTAGGATTGGAGCATTGTGTACCGTGTTCTTTGAGTACAGATTTGAAACACGCTTCGGAACACTGTAAAAAATTTCAGTCTACGCTAATGCCAAAAAAAGGATGCTAGGTACTACCAATTACCCAATCAGCATTTCACGACATGAGGTGCATCAGTAAATTCCATAGTGGGAACAAAAGCTTACTATGGATCTCTAATCCTGTACAGCATTCCACCTGCACATCACTACAGTCCAGCTTCCAGCTAACCGAACAAAAGATTATGAAGACCTAGTCTACTACTGATTACTAGCAGTATGTCAAGCTTAGCTAAACAATCTGAATTCTGAAGAGACTACCAGCAAAGCTAAATTCCACTCCTAATCATGCCAGAACCATCAGATGCTACTGAAGTCAGCAAAGTTCCCATCCGACCCTGCCTCAGATAGCATTTCAGTCACCCAGCGCCCACAGCGGCGAGTGAACGGCGTCGCCGTCGAACCCCTCACGCTGGCAATCCTCTCTCTTGATGCCAGGATAAAAGGGCACCATGTCGGATACCGCATCGAAATCGATGTACATGGCAATGTCATGAGGGTCGTCGTTGAACGGAGCATCAGGCGAAATCCAAGGAGTGCCCTGCTGCTGCTGCTGCTGGCTGACGGTCTCTCCGCCGCCGCCGCCCAGCGCAGCAGCAACAATCGGCTTTACCTCATGCTCCTGGAACACGTCGGCGGTGGTGGCGGCAGAGCAGGACGATGGATGGCATTGGGCCGGCGCCGCGGCGGCGTGGTCCGCGGGGAAGTTGAGGTGCGCGTAGTGGGCGCCGTGGATGGACACGGCTGCCCGGTCGTAGGCGACGGCCGCGTCGACGGGGTTGTTGAAGGTGCCCAGCCAGTGGCGCTTGCCGCGGTTGGGCTCGCGGATCTCGGCCACCCACTTGCCCCACCGGCGCTGCCGGACACCGCGGAAGTTGTGGCACGCGTTGTCTGGGCCACCCATGCCTCGCTGTGCCGGCCGAGACCTTTCGGCGAACGGCTTGGCAGTGGCACTGTTGCTGGCGAGGGCTTGCTGCCTTCCTGCTGCGCTGCACGACAATACACATCTCTGAACATCAGTGCAAACCAAGATGACTTAACCATCGCAATGTTACATGATTAGTTACTTAAATACAAACTTATCAGCAGAAATGTATTATCAAGATTCAATTGGACCCTGCCACATATGCTTGCTTTGTTGCTTCAAGAGACTAAGGATTCTCACAATGTAAAATGCATAAGGCCTAGGTGAAGCAGAATTTTCCACGTGCTCTGTTTTTCGTGTGTAACCATCACGGATCAGTAAGATTGCAAAAGAGAAGCAGAGTTCTTAAATGTGAGTTCAATCTGAAGCTTTACATGTTTAACTATGCAGAAATATATCTTACAGAATGTAACCTCCAGTAACACTGATGCAATGGAATTATAAGCAAAATATTTTTTTCACAGAATATAATCTGTAAAGTGACACAGGTACTACTGCCAGGTGAACAAAGCATCAAAATTCAGGGGAGAGGGGGGTTACTAATAATCTAATATAAATTTAATAGAGTACATTGCTCCAACTTCGTTTCAGATATTGTTAGAAGAACACTCAATCAGTATTTTTTAACAAGGTATTGTTTCCCCCATCTTGATTTTTTAGAAATTAGACAATGGGTTAAAAAAAGCATGGACCCACATTCACTGTCAGAACACTTAAGAATATGAATCACGAATCACCAGTCCAAAGATGAATCACTCAATAAAGTGCCAGAAAGATGTCCCCCCCCCATTGAATTCTTACTCAAACTAAGCAAGTTCTGCAGATACGCACCAAAACATAGCTCAGACTAGATTCAGAGTTCAAGTTCCTTCCATCATCGGAGACATACCACGCGGCACAAGTACCCTAAACCCCAGAGCGAAATCAGAACGGGCACAACAAATCAATCAAGCAGCGCCGATCTTTTGATCAGGTCAGACCACCCTCGGACGTACCGCAAACTAAAACCCCAGAGCAGCCGACACCAAATCGAAACGCAAGGGGAATCCAGCACCAGGCCGATCGGCAACCAAAGCAGCAGGAGCGAAAAAGAGATCGTGAACCATAGACACGCAACGCAAAACAACGGCCGGGGAACGTGCGCCTTACCTCGCCGTCGGAGCCGCCGCCGCCCGCCACATTTCCTGCCTCTCCAGTCCCACTCCCATGGCTCCTCCTTCCAGCGGGAGACCCGTGGTGGAATCGTCGATCGATCGGTCGACCACTTCCCTTCCCTTCCCTTCCCTCTCCGCCCCCCGGCCGGCCCCCTTGTGCTTATTATGCTCTCTCAGTGGCTTGCGCTGGAAGACGGAAGAAATCCTGGTCGATCAAAGGTCAGCAGCAGGTGGATGTAATGCAACTATGCAAGTTGGGGCACGCCTAGGATGCGCTAGTAATCAATGAGACGACACGCGGCGGGCACTTGCCTACTTGGTGACCAAGGCAACAGCACTAGCTAGAAGACCAGGCGGGGGAAGCGATTGCGGCGTGCTCTGGATGGAAAAAGGATGGGATTCGTCCGTACTTGCGGATTAAACGTGGCCACTAGCCTGGACGTGGGGCCCACGAACGAGCACTGTTTGCTTGAGATTATCGGTAAGGGCGTGTTTAGATTTATTGGGTAATATATCACTTTCGTCAGTTAATTAAAACCTAATTATATAATTTTTCTTTAACAATAAATTAGCTTTTTTTTTTTCGTACTCCAAAATCGTTTCTTGCAAAGATTCGATGTGAGCAAATTTTTTGGTTTTTGAGAGAAACTAAACGGGGTCTAAGAACGGCTTATAAAACCCTTCGACACGACGGAGACGAAGAAGAGGTAAAAAGGAGGTGGCCCCGCAGGGCAGAGACAGACGCGGACCAACAACAACGAGCCGGTCGCTTTGACCCGCGTCGTCGCTTCTTCTTAGTTGCGTTGCCCATCGGTGTGCAGCCGGCAGGCCTGCGGAGTGACGACGAGACGGGACCCGACCCGACGACGCCTCTGGATCAGCTATCGTAGCAATGTACAGTAGCTGTGAGCTATTAAAAGGTAAGAAGGGACCCTTCCTCGCCAAGGTTGCGTTCCGTTTTGGGCAGGTTTCCTGTCGAGGTCTCAAGGGGTAATTTCCAACTGTTGGATACTTGGATGTGATTTTTTCAAAAAAAAAAACTTGGATGTGTCGTGCTTGTAGAGCACAGCAATTTGCTTAATACTAGTATATCAAAGCGGAGCTTGAGTGTTTTTTCATGCAAAACTGACAGGTCATATGTCTGTGCATAAACTCTCGTGGGTTGATTTGACCACTAATTCTATGGGCTGAATCAAAGCCCATTTGATGCGGCCCATCTCAGGCCACTTCAGCAAGTGCTTAAACAAAACAGATCATTAGGTAATAGCTCAGCTACAATAGCTGATCCAAAGGACTCAAACCAAATACACTCAATCCTTTCCAAGAAAATGCTCGTAATATGTTGGACAATATGGCGTGCAAAGTAAGTTCTTCATGCTCACATAATCGCATTCTGGCAAGCCGCAACTTTACATCGAAAATGAGTGCCTGTTTGGTAAAACTCTTTCTGTTTCTCATTCTCTATGTAGTGATTATTTGAGAGGAGTGATTTTGTGGCAAAAATAATTCTCTAGGATAAACTAAATAATTTAAGTGATTTTGTGTGGGAAGTAAGAGAAGTTATTTTTTTTTCAGGTCCCAACTTTCTAATTTCTTTCACAGAGAATATATTCATATAATCAACATAGAGTCACTTCTTTGTGACAATATCACAATATACTATTTGGTAGAGTCACTCGGATGTGTCGTATTTTCTTAGTATTATTTTAGCATTTAACAGGGTTATTCTTTTAGTGATAGCACATGTGTCCCTCAACAATGAGTTTCTAATATCAAAATCTGCAAGCTGTCTTCCAGAGATGCTCTATAATTTGCATGCATTTTCATAAGGATGGATGTGCGTATGTGTTGTTGTGGGGGTATAACCCTAGGTACCCACGACAATGGACATGGCCGCACCACTAGGGGAGGTCCAGCCCATAAGATCAAGGCCTACTGTGTTCGGCTCTGGTCGGCGTGCACCGCAAGGCAATCAGAAGACATCTTGGCGATGAAGGAAGATCTTTTCGGATATGATAGATATCGTAGTTCTTGTAAATACTTACCATATAGCCGAATAGATCTAGGCCTAAACCGACTTGTAACCCTACCCCCAGACTATATAAAGCGGGTAGGGACCCCATCGAATTCATCTCATATACAATACAATACACCAAAGACACAGGACATAGGGTATTACGTCGATCAGACGGCCCAAACATATCTAAATCGTTGTCTCTGTCACCATCCGGTTCCTATTACGCGCACCTCTACTGATTCATCTACTATCGTGGGCATACCCCTTGGTAGACTGCCGATCATATTTCGTCGACAGTGGCGCGCTAGGGGGGCTGTGCGTGCTGATTCCATGGCCAACCAGATGGTTACTTTCCCGAGCTCCATGGCCTTTCTCGAGCCGGGCTAGATCTTCACGGTCGGTTCCATTACTTGGATCATCGGCCCCGACGACAACGGGGAGATCGTGGAAGCGGTGCAGGATCACCCTGCGCCGATCGCGCTAACACTTGCAACGACG